CCTCTCGGTAGCCCCTCCTCTGTAGACCCCCCTCTCTGTAGACTCCCCTCTCTGTAGACTCTCCTCTCTGTAGACCCCCCTCTCTGTAGACTCTCCTCTCTGTAGACTCCCCTCTGTAGACCCCCCTCTCTGTAGACCCCCCCTCTCTTCAGGTCCACAGACCTCAGTACCAAAGTGACCTCCACCCACCGTCTCTTCTTCTTTTCTTCTGTCCAGGTTTGAACAGCCTCAACTTCTTCCTCCCGTCCAACCACCCCCCGACCTCGGCCGTCCCCACCATGGCTCTGTCCTACGTCCTGGTTCCGTCGGCCGCCCTCTCCCACTACCCACTGGTCACCGGTGGTCACCGGCAGCAGGGACCAGAGGCCCACGCCAAACTCGGCTTCAGTCTGCCCACGACCGCGTCCTCCGGCCACTGTGGGGCAGCACCGTTCACCCTGGTGTCATCAGACTACGGCTGGTCGCCACGTCCGTCCCAGTCCAGCCCAGACGTGGGCGGCCAGTGTGGGCCACCCACTGGGCCACAGCAGGTCAACAACAGCAGAGTGGAAACACAGGTGACTGTGACACTGGGTCACAGCTTCAACGTCTTACTGACTGGTTTGTGACTGACTGTCTTCTGTCCTCTGTCCTCCACAGACACCACAGACTCCCAAGGACACCACAGCTTCCATGTCCAGGTCTTTCTTCCAGACTCCAGGCACTCTTGAAGGTGGAGTCAATACTGCGACACCTGCTGGACGAAAAAGAGGCTCGGCGCAGCGGAGACTGGACGTGGGACACCCCCCCGTGGACTAAACCTGTGCAGAAGTGGAGACGATGACCGTCCAGACGTTTGTCCTCAGGATGGAAACCAAATCTCTTCACTTTTTATTTGGCCGTTAAAGTCATTACATTTGTTTTAAAGTATTTATAGACAAAAAGACAACAGTTTCTGACGTCACGGTAAAGAGTTTCGTATTTTCCTAACGGTGTTTTATTTTTTAGAATCGAACTCTTCCTCCGGATGTGACGTTAAAATCCACCCTTTGGTTTTAATGCTGCACTTAAAACGAGTGAAGTAGTGTTGCCAAGTCAAAGGCGCCCTCCTGTGGCGACATTGGGCCACTTCAGTTTTATTCAGGTGTGACCCAGTTCTCTGGTCCGCCTCTTATTTATGTCTTATCTAATATATCGTGATGACTTGAACCACTCCGTCTTTTTAAAGCACTAAATATTTAAATGTACATTTGGTTTCAAGGTCGTCGTCTTTAGTCTTTCTTCGGTTTAGCATTCAACAGATGAACTAACAGGAGCTCACCTGAGGGGGGCGTCCTTAAAGCCGTCAATGTTTACAGCCCATAGACTGAGAATTTACCACTGTGGACTCTATGGTTCTGACGCCAAAACCCGGTCCAGCTCTGGTGCTGGTAAACTAAAAACCCTGGTCAGCTGGGGCAGAGCTGTGAGGTACTTGAATACTTGAGTTTACGAGGAGATGATGTCAAAGTACTGTAAAGACTGTAAACACGCAGTTTATCCTGAAAATGTAAACGAAGCGTATGAATGTGTCAGATTATTTTTGTCTCCTTAAAAACATTCACCATTGGTGCATTTGTAAAAACGTGCCTTGCTTAAAGGCAACTTATTTTTATTTAGGTCGTGCAGGGACTTTGTTGGACAATCCTCTGGTAACAGACCCACTAACCCACTTGCAGGAAACTGTCACACCAAAGGTCCGCGGTGACAGCGATGTTTACGGCAACACTTTTTTCAATGGATTCATATGGATGCCATGTAGATGATGGTTTTGAAAAAATAAAAATACCACTTTTTTCAATGGATTCATATGGATGTCATGTAGATCAAATGATGGTTTTGAAAAAGTAAAAATAAATTGCACTGTTGGTTTCACTGCTGGTTTCTGCTCCTCTGAGATGTTTGATGCTGTATTTGAAGAAGAAATCAGAAAATGTAATAATATAATAAATATAATCACAATAATAACTCCTGTAGTCCAGCAGCAGTCAGGCTCTTATTGAAATCAATTGAAATTCCAACTGTGTGAAACATCCATCAGGTCAAATCAGGCTAATTCACTCACACACGCCATCTGTTGGAAGACATTAACAGTTAATCAGGACATTTAAATCTGCAGAGGGGAGAGAGACGGAGACATATGTCTCTGTCCACTGTCAGACATTTGTAACAACGATGGAACAATGAACTACATGTAGACCGACTACACCGACCGTGACCAAACTGCACCACTGCAGGCAGACAGAGCAGAATAACCACCGTCATAATATTGGAGAAAAAATTTAAAAAAACCTTACAATTCTCTCCACGGCCTCCTGGGGTCGCTCAGCCTGCATCAGGTGTCTGTAAAGTTTTCATGTATCTGAGATTCTTTGGTGATACAATAGTTAGCCTGTCTAATTAATTAGTTTCTTTAATTGGTAACTAAAAATAATAATAATTTAAATTTATCATTCAAAAATTATTGTCTATGAAAAATCACAAGGTTTTTCCCCAAACGGAAACAAATACGTGTGTAAAAAGGCCCGGCTTTAGCTCCAGGTTGATGGGAAACTGGACACAAACATTTACTGAACAAAAACGTTCAGAAATGAATTTAAGCCTAATGTCTTAAAAATGTTTCTAATCGAATTAAATTAAACTTTTCATTTTAAAAAAAGAGAGAAGAGTTAAAGGCAGCTGCTTCGTACGGCTCCTGTCTGGGAGCTAAAGGCGAAATGCTAGGCGAAATGCTAGCTAAACTGTTTGTCTTGTCAAATATAAACCTTTAACTTGTATTCGGCCTTTACGAGTGAGTCGTAACCACTTTAAACTGGTTATATCACAACAACACGGTGGTTAACACGGTTAGAAACCTGCGGCCACAGGAGGAACAGACACGGACACGGACACGGCTCTCATGAACGAGCGGCACCGGCAGGTGAGTCCATTAAAACAACCACAGCCAACGATGGGCCGCGCACTCCCCCTACTGGCGGAACCTGGAGTTGACGCAGCTCCACTCCACTGTCTTTGAGACAAATTCCTGTCTCAGCAGTTTCTGACTCCAACACTTATAATTATTACAGCAGTCAGAGGTTTGACAACAACGACTCAGTGACGACTTCACGGCTCTGTAACTGTTTACCGTGTGTCTGTGTCTGTGTCTGTGAACTGGTGACGTCTGTGGTGTTTTTAGTCTAAAATATAGGCTCAAAAGTGAAAAGATTCTATTTTATTTTCGACCACGAGGACCAGATGATTAACGGTAATCGATCATCGATATCAGTTGAAAACAAAACAAATCCCACATTCCATTCTCCAGACTGGGTGTGTTGAAACAGCGCTCTTTTGTAACACGACATTTGAATGCAGCATTGATGTGTTCAGGGTCACACCCACTGAGCTCCTCCCCCTCCTCCTCCCCCTCCCCCTCCTGACGGTAAATATGTGTCGTGTCAGTGTCGGGGAGGTACGAGTCCAGGAGGAGACGTTCTCCTCAGCCTGAACCCGGACGAACGCACGTTTTTTTCGGATATTTCCAGAGAATCCAGGTGAATATTTACATGTTGTTTTTAAACTTTAATTTACTCAAACGTTACTCTGTTTACTTCAACCTTTTGTCACTGAAATGATTTCCTCATAAAGATGAGACGCTGCTGCCGCGGTGCTGGGAAATAGTTTTTTCAGTGTCAGGTACACGGAGGTACTTATGAAATATGAAGTACATAACGTGTACACAGCTGCCTGAATACTCGGTTTTTAACCAATTCCAGAGTAATAATACTTTAATAAAACAGCTAAATAATAATAAAACAGCTGTCTGGTTTATACCTCACCCTCCCCAACAGACCCATGGTACTGACTGTACTTTATGGCTGTGTTTTCTTGGCAGTACTTCGATCACCGGGCTGATCCTTTAACCACAGAGACAGGTATTATATTGTATAGTACTCCTGCAGTACTCCTGCAGTACTCCTGCAGTACTTCTTAGTCCAGGTGAACTGTGAATACACGTTACTTCTAAGTTACTGTGTAGTATCTCCATGTACCACAGTGGGTAAAAGAACAACAACACGAGCGACTGACGGGGCGTGTGGTCACTACTGCACAGATACTACCTCATTTCAGTCTACAGTATCTTTAGACTGCAGTACTCAGCAGCAGCAGTAAACATTAGTACACACTCTGGGCCGCAGAAAACGACGTGGCGGGCCAGGTTTGGTCCACGGGCCTCAGGTTTACAGCCAGGTTATACTGCAGCTTATTTTCCTGGAGCAGAAGTGATCGTTATCAGTTCACTGTCTCCAGAGGTCAGAGGTCATCGTCTCTCTCTCTCTCTCTCTCTGGTTTCTTTTAGGACCGAACACAAACCATGCCGAACTGGGGCGGCGGCAACAAGTGCACGGCCTGCCACAGGACGGTGTACCACGCCGAGGAGGTGCAGTGTGACGGCAAGAGTTTCCACAAGAGCTGCTTCCTCTGCAGTAAGTCAGTCAGACAGACAGTCAGACAGACAGTCAGACAGACAGTCAGACAGACAGTCAGACAGACAGTCAGACAGACAGTCAGACAGACAGTCAGACAGACAGTCAGACAGACAGTCAGACAGACAGTCAGACAGACAGTCAGTCAGACAGACAGACAGTCAGACAGACAGACAGTCAGACAGACAGACAGTCAGACAGACAGACAGTCAGACAGACAGACAGTCAGACAGACAGACAGTCAGACAGACAGACAGTCAGACAGACAGACAGTCAGACAGACAGACAGTCAGACAGACAGACAGTCAGACAGACAGACAGTCAGACAGACAGACAGTCAGACAGACAGTCAGACAGTCAGTCAGACAGTCAGTCAGACAGTCAGTCAGACAGACAGTCAGACAGACAGACAGTCAGACAGTCAGTCAGACAGTCAGACAGTCAGACAGACAGTAAGTCAGTCAGACAGTCAGACAGTCAGACAG